AATTATCAGTTCACCTAGTAGTATTTGTACAGTATGAAACAAAGAAGTCACATAATTGGAGATTGTTTCAGGCTTAACAAAGGTATTTTGTTGATGATTGGTTCTTTGTTTAAAACTACAACATTTTTAATAGATACACTACAGTTTCATTGAGTTGCAGTGTTTGTAAACATGAATTTTTCTTATCATATTCACCAAATGAAATAAAATCATCAACAAATCAGATAGGTTTAATTATGTTTACTGTTCAGTGAATACAAGATAAGTACAAAATTGGGAATTTAAAAACCCACAAATAGGGATCGTAAAAAATGTAAGGAAACAAGGCTGGAGATACTATTAGACATTATTTATCCAAATTACAAACCCTATTTAGGCTCCATGCAATTATCTAGAATTACATTTGGTGGAGTCAAAATAGGGATTTATAGTTTGAGTAAATAATGTCTACAGTATCTCCAACCTTGTTTCATTACTTTTTTATGATTCCTAGTTGCAGGCTTTTAAATTCCCAATTTTGTATTTATCTCATTTGCTCAATCTGGGCAAAGGATTACTTGATATGGTAGCTAACTAATATGTTTCATAATGATTTACTGTAGCTATTGACTATTTTATCACATTAGTTTAAGATGTAAAATGTTAGCTGCAGCTGAAGATTGTCATGGAGATTTGTTTGAGAATATAGTCAGCATTTATAGTTTCTATGTAACTAAATTCTCTCTATATAATACATAGCAATGGGTATATATATATGCCTAGACTAAGACACAACCCCCCATTAAGCGTATATAAAATTTTACCAGTAGAAATGCAGCCGTTTCAAATAAAGCATATATGTCTAAGACATCACTTTAAACAAACCTTTCTGTTTTTAAAGTAATTATTTTACGGATGTGTGTAATAAAATTCAATATTATGTGTAGATTTTTTTTACACCTTCATTTCACACATAATATAGGGGTTGCTCCCTAAAGACACCAATTGCATAGTGTACAAAACATTGAGTATCTACATTATATAGTCATTTAATGTTCATCTATTATTGGCTGGTAATTCCTGTTTCACCCTGTATACTTAAGTTTTTTAAAGGAACATCACCTTTAAGGGGTAATGATAACATCATTTACACTAAAATTATGATGTTTTTAGCTTATGTAAAACATAGAAGAAACAAACCGACTTTTCAATACCCCTATGACCTTCACAGTACTTTATTTAGTATTCTACAAAAGGTTTGGGTGCAATATACCAAGCCATTTTTGTTGTAGGCTGACAAGAGAATAATCATAAGAATTACAAACTGGCCATTTTGTGCAGATTTTCTTTTCCTTGTAAGTCTAACATGCATGCTTTTTTTGTGCATTTTTATATGACATTATGTGTACAGCCTTAGCAGTCAATATTAAAGGTTTTAATGTGTTGTTTGAACTGAATCTTTACTGTTTAAGGTGCTTTTTATCCGAACATTCTGTTAGGGTTTTGTGGTTCATGATAGTAGGCAACTTCAAAATATTCTGATGGCTCAAAATTTCATTAAGTATTATTTTTATCATAATCAAACAATTTATGTAAGCAAACTGGCTAACTGGCAACTAATTTTTTCTAATTGCAATTGTGATATAATCTAAATAAAAACATTATTACCCTCATCAGTGATAGTAAACCATCTTTTTATTATTTAATTACCAAGTCATTTGATTTGCAGAAGATCAGTGTGGGATTACTGCATATTTTAAAAACAAACATAATGGTGACCACATGATGGTGTTAAGTCTACATTACCAATTCATTCACCAAGTAAGAAATGTCCAGATTATATATATATCTCTAAAGAAATATGTGCCAAAATAATATACTTAGACAAAAATATGTTTTTTTGCAAAATGCACAAGTGATGACCTTCAGAAGAGGTCAATCATATGAAACCATGGATAATTCAAAAATTACTTAAAAAAAGAACCTAAACTCTTTCAACTCCTTCCGTGGTTTGCTTGAGATAACTTGGGCAACCTTCATGCTTCAAAAAATATTTGCCAGTGTTAATTCAGGCAAACCATTTCTTGACATGTTTTTAATTATTTGTCTGAATTTATTTGCTTGTTATCATGTATTACAATTATTATTCACCAGATGACATTGAAAATGCTGTTTTTGCTGATCTCTATCCAACTTATTCATAAACACCGGAGAAAAATATTCCTGTTCTTTACTATAGTTGCATTGAAGTAATATAAAACACATGTAAATCCAAGTATGTCACATATATTGACCAAGCATATTCTGTGCAGAAATACAATAACAGATAATAAAAAATCTTTTGTTTCATAAATATATATATACAATGTATAGGCTATAAAAAGAAGTTTATTCATATCCTATGATAATAAAGTACCTTAATTAAATTTTAAAAAAAGCAACAACACTCAAAGCAAGCCAGCCCTTATCATTCACATATTTATCACGTCTTCCCTTACACCCCCTTAATCCTCTCGCTACAGGCAGGTCAAAGTGCACATGTCACGACTTGGCATAAAAATTTAGTTAATAAATCAAATTTTATTATTATATAAATTTTTAGTTCTTAATTTTATAAGGAATATTTAAAAAATCCTCAATCTCACCCTAGTATGGGAATTGTGACATTTGCTCTCTAGGTATCCCCTCTTTAATATATTTAACACCCCCTAGAGAAGTAGAGAATTTAATATAAATTAATTATTATAATACTGTTATTACTCAGGCAAAACATAACTATTATACCCTTCAATCTTATTTGGTTCCTGAGCCATAAACTAAAAAATCAGATCCCTCTTGCGAAACCTACCCATCGCATCATTTCTTTCATAAACTGCCAGTTGTTCTCCCTGATGTTTAATACTACATTATTTATAAACAAAAGAAAGTCAAAGTTTTAATCTATCAAATAATGTATTATATTACACTGTTTTCTAGACAAAGAATTGTCTATTTTGCATCCAGTTCAAACTTTATACATACACGAAACATATTGACAAGCCTAGCTGAATTTGTAACAGCTCTTGTTGCATAATTAGAAAGCCAGAAAGATAGTGATAGTTATAGAACATTGTATGTTTTTTATACGTTATTATTCTGTGTTCTTTGATGAATTATCTAATAAAATAAAGAATTATTTAGTGCAGTATTTCCATTACTATAAATAAAGTAGGGTTAAGTTTCATTGATGGTTGACAACAACAACAAAAAAAAGAAGACCCAGTTAAGTACTTTATTTCTTCTTTTTCATGTGTATTTTTTATTTATTATTACAAAGTAAGTAAAATGTAACAATTAGAAACTTTTTAGGTTAGAAAATTTTAGATAAAGTAAAATAAAGTAAAAAAAATAGATAATAAAAATATTTCACAAGATATGCTCACAAGCAACTGGCAAGTAGATTGTGAGTTATGTAATTAGATAGGGTAACATGAGCTAAGCATTTGCCAAGTGACTGAGAACTTGTGTGGTGAGATTATTAGTTAGACACAGTTCAAAGGACAATAAAACAATAAAATTTAAGTAGAAACAGATGTATACTGTTAAGATTTAAAACTGTTAGGTATAAACAAATGTAGTTTCATATTACACTTTGAAGTCATTCTAGAAAGAAAAAAAATGGGTAATCTAAATTTATTTCTTTTTTTTTTTTATTGGTGGCTATGAGGCTAGTCAAATTGACCAACCTGGTACAGAGATGGGGTGGTGAAAATAATAGATAAAATATAGTTTTATTGAAAAAAAAAACCAATGTGAAATTTACTTAGGAGGTTTTAGAGATTACACAAATGAAACTGGACAATTTTCAGATAAAGTACTTTTAATCTTAACATGAAAATCACTGTGTTTGGAGCAATCAACACTTTGACTATATATATTCACAGAAATATTTTAGTAAAAATTCTTTATTAGAAATTATGAGTTTATGTCTTCAAAAGATTTAATATTTACTGAAAGCTTCCAAATTTCGTGAAGATACACAAAACATATTATAAGTTATAGTATGGAAACTATAAAGGTCAATTTGGGGTCACAAATTTGACTGAGCCTATAGCAAGAGTGTTACCAATCTTAAACAATTCAATCAGATCCCTTCTAACTACTCCTTTTTCAAGAGAAAACAATTTCATGAATCTTAATCTGTCCTGTATGACAACCTCTCCATTCCACATATCATTAGCAGCCCTCCTTTGAACCCTGCTCAACAATTCAATCCCTTCTTAAGGTAAGAAGTTGAAGACCGAACACAATACTCCAAATGTGGCCTAAATAATGACATATACAATGAAATTATAATCTCTTTAGAGATGTATTCAGTATTTCTATAGACAGAACCTAAAATCTTGTTTACCCTGCTGCTGGCAATAAGAGATTATAGTTATTTGTAAAGAACATGAGGTATTGTAAGTGGAACATATAAAAATAAGTCAGATCTTTGAAAAAATGTAGTTTTTCATTTTGAGTTCCAACATTTACAATATTATCAATACATTCTATTTCACTGGATATGAAAACCCCAGTGTAATATAACAAATATCCCAGTAAAGGGTAAGAAAACCCCAGTGTAAAGTAACACACATTTCAGTTAATAGTATGCAAAACCCAGAGGAATATAGCATAAATCTTAATTCATGATATGAAAACCCCAGTGTAATATAGCACACATCTCAGTTATGGGTATAAAATCCCTGTGTAATGTAGCACACATCTCAGTTAAGGGTATAAAACCCCTGTGTAATATAGCATACATCTCAGTTATGGGTATAAAACCCCTGTGTAATATAGCATATATCTCAGTTATGGGTATAAAACCCCTGTGTAATATAGCATACATCTCAGTTATGGGTATAAAACCCCTGTGTATAGTAACACAAATCTCAGAATCACCAGTAATTTAACTTAGAACAACCTACACAAGGGTAAAATTACGAGTACACTATTCAACTACTGGCACAATAGTATAAAAAAAATTCAGATCTTACCATCAGGACGTTTCAAAAGAGTCCACAGTCTTTCAAGTTGTTCTTGATGATGACATCAGTGACAGCATCAAAAACGAACTGGATGTTGTTAGTGTCAGTTGCACACGTGAAGTGTGTGTATATCTCCTTGGTGTCCTTTCTTCGATTTAGGTTCTCAAACTTCATCTGAATATAAGCAGCTGCTTCTTCATATGTGTTGTTTCCTGCTCCAAACAGGAAAAAGTTGCACTTTTTCAATAATTTATTATCAAAGCTAAAGGGAATTGTCAAGTAAGCTCATTTTTTTAGATGATTTTAAAATCAAATTTAAATAAATCTGTCTAATTAACCAACTTTTACATTTTCAATACATCAAAAATCAAATGTAAAGGTAGGTTTCTAGCTATTAAACCGACTTTCAATTATATAACTATCTATAATCAAACTTAAAAGAAAGTTGTAGTTAACTAATTTTTTTTACTTAAAACAGTTTCTTATAACTATAACATTTACATTTAAAATAAGTTTTTAATTAAATAACTTGCACTGGCTTAATATTAAGGTTAATTGAACTTCTCTCATTATTAGTTTCATTCTAACCTAAATCCATCAACAAACTTAAACAAAGCTGCCTAAGAACTGTCTAGCAAACAAAACACTGGATTTATTGAGCAAGTATCCAAAAAACATTGGTCAGATTTTGGGGAAGTGTCCAGGAACTACTGGTCAGATATTAACCCCCTTCTGATCTGTAGGTATTCATATCAACCTGTGTGTACACTTATGAACACTGGTAAGATATTGGGAAAGTGTCCAACAAACACTGATCAGAAACACTATAGGTATTCATGTCACTCTGCACATTCACAACTCCGCTTTTAAAACTTAAATAAAGAATAAATTTAAGCATATTTCAAAAAGTTTTTACTCAGAACATATTGTATGATTAATATCTAGGCATTATATAATGCCTTAAATCAGTTATTTCATGAACAAAAAAATTTTAAAACATTCATTTCTGTCATATCTTTAGATGTGTAAACTGTAAATTTCATGACTCTTATAAAATATAAACTTGATGTTTATTCTATACTTCTATGTCTTCCGCTTGTTTAACTTTGAATTTATTGGTGGAACTTGCATTTATAGCTCTACCCTGGAACGTATTCAGAGTTTTGGTTCTCAGCTTTGAAAAGGCTTAAGGCAAATAACCATCAGAAAGGAGGAATTCTAAAGTTTAAAAGCATTTTGTAAATAATCTCTTGTGAAAATTAAGTTATACTTTTTAATAAAAACGTTGAAGTTAGGTGCATTCAATGATAACAAAGCAACCTCCATACAGTTCTGAAATACATCCCAAATAATTAAAAGCCTGGAATTTTTATTTATAGTTTCTAATGACATTTGTTTCATTCCTGATAAAATGTTTTACATCGTGTAGCTGATCCTAATTGATGTAAAATAGAAATGCCAATAAACAAAATCTGAATGATTTCATTTCTGCAGTCACTTTCCACCACGATTACCAAATGCAGGTTTTTAACTTTATTTTGAACAATTTAATACACACAGCCAGTCAGCAGTATATACAGACTCAAACTTCTGCAACACTCATGCTTGGAAAGAGTTTCACATCAGGATGACACGTGTAATAGTTATTTTCACCTTTAGTTTATTTTTTCGTTATCATTTAGCTATTAAACTTATCTCAAATTTATTAAACACTTACTGGATATTAGTAAACTATCAAGAAAATACTGATTGGATATTATGAAACTATCTAGAGAACACTGATTGTATATTTTGAAACTTTCTAGAAAACATTGATTGTATATTAGAAAAATGTCTAGAAAACACTGATTGGGTATTAGAAAACTGTCTCAAAACAAAAGTAAGATATAATGAAACTGTCTTCAAAAATGCTGATAAGATATTAGAAAACTGTCTAGCAAATTCTAGAAAACTCAGGTTAAATATAAGAACTTGTCCAGAAAACCCTGGCCAAATATATAAAACTTTTTAGATAACATTCATCAGGTATTAGAAAACACTGATTGGCTATTAGAAAACTCTTTTAAAACACTATTCAGATATTAAGAATCTTTCTAAGAAACACTGATTAGATATTAGGAAACTGTCTAGAAAACAATGGAAGATATTAGGAATTTTTCTAAGAAATCTGTCTCTTAAAACTTTTTATGAATGAGAATATAAAATTAACTTAATTACAAGAAGACATAAATAAAAATTACCTGTATATTCAGGAAAACAGCTTGTCAGTGGAGACTTGGTAATTTTTTTTTCAAACAAGTCCTTCTTATTTAGAAATAATATAATAGAAGTGTCCACAAACCACTTGTTATTACAAATGGAATCAAAGAGTTTCATGCTCTCAATCATTCGGTTCTAGTTTGAAAGGAAATAAGAAAACACTTGAAACAACACAATCATATTCAAAAGTTTAATATAGAAAATTCAGTTTTAGTATGCAAAAGCAAAATTTATACTTGGTTGATGGAATAAATGAGTAATATTAGAATTTAAATATGATTATGTTCTCAGAAAAAGATACAAAAGTAGTCCTTGAATAAAAAGGTTACCCAAACAGATCTAAATACTAAAAGGCCTTAATGAGAAAATGTAGTAATATTACAAATTATGATTAGTGACAGTGGGTGTTGGAAGTCTCCAAACTTCCCACTCCATAGCCAAGACTTCCATAGCCAAGACTTCCATACTTTGAATCATCCTAAATGCTTAAGAAAAATCAATGCACTTTATAATATGTTTATTACATATATATAAAATAAACTTGTGGAAAACATAAACACATTTACATTAAATTTATGGCCTCCTATAGTTGAAAAATATATGAATAAAAATGTAATTTCTAACCATCACTGTATCTGCACTTTTTATTCCTGAGATAAAAGTAAAAATTCTACAGCACAAAAACATTTAGCATTCTGCATTTTGATGTACAGCACCTACTAGTAGTGAAAAATGGCAACAAATCTTATGACAACTATAATAAGCATAACATATTTAAATGTCATTGAGATACAGGTGTCAATAAATAATAACGTACAATGTATTGTGTTAGTGAAACATGATAATACAATCTTGTGATAGCTATAACTGAATTACAGGTAGTTCATTGTACTTAACTATTACTGAGACTTATTGATTTTTACAAATTGTTGTATAGCTCTATTGAATATTTTGAGAATAAAATTATATATTGCATAATGATAGGAGTTTAAGAAGAAATACCTGGAGTCATTTACAGAACTAAAGTTTGGGGTAAACCAAAAAAAATTCAATGTTTTAGATAAAAATCATAATGCCTATATCCAGAGTAGCAACAAAAACTTGTTCTCTTGACTATCTTGCAAAACTCGTCAAATGCTGTTCACTGCACAAATAAAGTATGTAACTTTTTTAAAAAAAGATTTCAAATTGATAAGCCAAAAACAAATTCTCTCTCTCTCATATTTCAGATGGAAGGTTATATTAATACTAGGTCTGATATAAACAGTAATTACATCAGAAAATTGTATTAATACTGTTTAAGTCTAAGATCATCAACACTTCTGTTTAAGTTGTATTAATACTGGTTAAGTGTGATATCACCACTACTTCTGTCTTGAGTTGTAACAATACCAGTTGAGTCTGATATCATTAATACTTCAGCCAAAGTTTGTATTAATACCAACTGAGTCTCATAACATCAACATTTCTGTCAGAGTTGTTTTGATGCTCGTTAAGTCAGGCAACACCAGTACATCAGCAGGAAGGTTGAATCTAATGTCCTTTAGTGAAAAGGTTAGTGTACACTTAATTTTGTATCATACAACTAACTGTTTACACTGACTTTTGTAATTACTATAGTACAAAGTACTAAGTATATTTTATTAGTTTAAAGCTTCAGATAACAGGGTTAAAACAATACAATAAAATATAGAATTACCAATAAACAAACTACACTACACAGTTCATTTAACAAAAGTTGAAGTTCATTAAGTAATAAACTTTTTCCTTTATATTGTTATAACCTTAAAGTAATAATTCAAAATAACTTGTTCACCTGAAGATGGACTAAGCTATAGTCTGATAGCTTGGAAGTTTTGACTGTCTTAATTTTACTTATGACAAGTATAATAAAAAAAATATTATAATTACAAGTATGGATAAATACATATGTAACCTAGCTAGCTATAGTAATACAGAAAGTTTTAATGCTACAAAAAGTATTGAAAGTATTCCTACTTTGGCTCAGATAAACATAATTACAGTGATTTGCCAAAGTAAGGAGAAATATTTTTAAATTTTAAGTTACTCAGTTTTTGTAGTTTGATTTTCTTGTTTCCATGGTTTTTGTAAGATTAAAACTTTCTATATTACTATAGCTAGCTACATTACATATATACCGATCCTTACTTGTCTTCATAAAATTATTATTTTTTTATTATACTTGTTTGTTTCCTTTCTATTAGTTATATTTTTATGTGCCAGCAATACCAAGTGTGGTGCACACATATACCCAGTTTGATTTTATTACTCATCATTATCTCCACTAACCTACCCTCAAATCTAATTATATGCCCGAAGTAGTGCATTATCTATTATATATATATATATATATATATATATATATATACTAATATCCTTTTCAGTACAAAAAAAGGAATCATTGGGCCCCCAGACAGCAGAGTTCTGTGAGAGAATTAGTGATAAGGTTCGTCATTTTTTTTGTATGCTTGTCTGGAAAAATCACTTACTTACTTTGATGAAAATTTGTTGAAATAGTGAAATTTTGATTCACTCCATAAACATGTATATAGCACTACAATAGTAATAACAATTTAATACATTATATGTTGTCTCAGATTTCCAAAACCTAAGTCTATTGCCGATATAATCATTAACAGGTATAATAATCTCACTTCATCGTTATTTAGAAAAATAGAAGTATTATAAAAATGAGTTTGATTTAGACTTTTTGGAACAATGTAAGATATATATGTTATTATTTTCCTATAATGAAATTATATTTTCGATAGGTACTTACCTCTACTCACAGTGTGGTTCAACTGCATCTTGCATGCAAATCATCATGAGACAACCCTCCACCAACAGGAGTGCAACACACCCTCCTCTATTCGATTCTATTAAATTATCACTTCGAGATTAGAGAGAAAAAAAAAGCACTGGTTTTCAGTGAGGAGGAAGGGTGAGAAGAGGTAAGTACCCACTGGAATTATATTTTCAGGCTAGAAAAATAACTTCTAATACGGTACATTACCTCCTCTCACATGTATAGCTAGAATCCCTTATTGAATAGTTGGAGGGACTGGTGCAAGGGATAGAAAATAAGTATCCTTTAAAAGCATCCAAAGAACACTCATGAAGTGCAATCACCATTGGGAGAGGAAAGATGTGAAAGACTGCACCACTTCTGTATCAGGTATACCCTGTGCCCAGTTTGGAAATAGGTGTCGCATAAATGGATGGAAAGTGAAAGGAGCACAACGAAAAAAGGGAGATACAACCGTATACACAGTATATCAGAAGCTCAGTCCCATAGATGAAAGACTTTAGAAGAACCATCTACAGATAAGTATGGGGAAAAAGCTAAAATGGATGTGCTCCAAGGTGTAGAATAGCTAGGGCGTGATGGACCGTACACGGACTGTCTACTCTAAAAACTAAGTGGTATCAGGAATAAAACCTCCCACCTGTGGTAGAAGGAGGGTCCATACTTTCTTCACTTCATGGTAAGTAGAATGACAGGATATATTGTGCAAATCCACAACCAAACACACATTCAGGAACCCATCTGAATGATGGTAGGAAGGCATATGCCCATGCCAGTTCATATCAAACAGACTGGCACCCCCACTGCACAACATCAGCTCAGACAGTGAAAACACACTGAGCTGGAGCTCAATGAAGAAAAATTGTCCCGATCAACATCATCCTCCGAATAGGATTACACAGAAGCTGGTGCACAACACCACGCTCCGGGCCACACCGTCCCTACTCACTATTAAAGGGGAGCAAACCCCAGCAGCTCAGAACTGGAAAGTGGCAAGGACTCCCATACTTCACTAGAAGAACAAGGGGGGATAAAACATAGTGGAGAGTCTGGAGAAATGCCAACACTGGAGACAGTGCAACAGGTGACCACAAACACCCTATATTGAAAAGCATACTACCCCTGATTTATTCAATCAATGGGATAGCAGGGATGGGTAGCTATCCTCTTCTGCTTTATTCATGCAAGTCAATGGGTTAGTATGGTCCAGAACCTACTAGCAATCTTATGGAACACCCCATCTCAACAATGTGCGTTATTGGTCATGGGTATATTGTGTTTTATTATTCCATCTTGGCCATACAGTGCAGATTGGAAATATAGGAATGACACCTGGACAGGCAATGCTCGCCACTGAGCATAGAGTTTTAAAATACTTTAAAGATCACATCATTGATGACTAAGATTCTAGTGACAGATGAACATGGGCATTACAGATTTGAACATACTCTTTCATATCACATCTACTGTGCTTTCTGCAAGTTACAGAAATAACATTGTGATTTCATGTATGTGTTACTTTTTCAGTCTTTTCCTTAATGTCAACCCAATAAGCTGAATAAAGGTGTTTTTACAGTTAGTATATGCCAGGCTATCATGTGTGTTCCAGTAATTGAGATTTATAGTAGGGCCACAAACAGCCCTTATGGGAACCCACCCTTTGAATGTGAAATATTTCACAAGAAGTCTTTCATTAGCTCGTATTTTAATTTGATAGCTTTATATCAGTTTCTTTTAAGAAAATTCTGGCTAAAATATTGGTTCATCAAGCATATAAAATTAACCAACAAGCATGAATTCTCCCACGAACAGCTAGAAAAATATCAAAAAGTTATTAAAAAATGTTCTTTCCAATAGGTATTATAAATCACATTATCTGTGACTATTTAACTAATAGAAGCCTTCCTATACAGACAAATTGGAATGTTGCTAAACAAAAAAATTATTTAGCATTGTCATATATAGATAAATAGGCTATTTTTAATTCAAAATCAATTTTGTAATTTATGCCATCATGCTTACCCACAGGTGTGATGTGACAGTTGTCTTTAAACCTGAGTGTCAATTGGAACATTTATTTCAAGCATAATGATCAAATACTTATATTTAAAACTTAAAGTGTGGTATAAGAATAAAAATATCCTAAATGTTTTAAAGTTATATTGTATCTACCATCAGCTGGTGCAAACACTGAACAGGAACTACACATAAAAAATTCTGTTTACAACCAAAGTTCAATTAACAGAGTAGTGCATTTGTTCTCTCACTAGTTTTTTAGTTCCAAGTAAGTATATCTTTTAGTTAACACTTACCATTTCTTCATCCTCTGCCAGTACTAAGTCATAACCACTAAGAGCAACACAAAATATAATTGCTGTGACACCCTCGAAACAATGAATCCACTTCTTTCTTTCTGATCTTTGTCCTCCAACGTCAAACATTCTTACAAGAAAAGATTTAATATATGTTTGAAACAAGGTCTTTTTAATCACATTTTATAATGATTTAGACACATGCACACACACACACATAGTGAGCTTAGTTTTTGCTGAGAATATGGTTTCTTTAACATATGTTTTTATACAGAGCTGTATTAGTTTTAAAGTTCCACCACTACTTGTAACATTATTTGTTTGTGTTCCAATGCAAAGCTACAAGATGGGCTGTACCAACCATGGGGATCAAACTCCACTTGTAATGTTCACAAATTTCTTCCTCATTAGAGCTTATTTCAAAGTTGTAAACTTTTTTGTATGAAAATAATATAGAAATATTGTGCCTTCTAAGTATGAAAAAATAAAACTGTGATTTCAATAGTTATATTCAAGAAACATTTTATATATATCTGTTAAAGTAACAACCTTGTTGGTGGTTTAGGAATGTAACTTGAGCCAAAACCCACTGTTACATAAAACATCATTAAAATGAGAGTAAAGTAACACTCAATGTACGACTTTCTTTGACATTTGTGGTATTGTTTATTCTTAAGGTACATACTACATTTGTACTAGCAGTAACTTTAAAATCACAAGCTAGCTTTATATCACAACTAGTCATCATTCCTGCTCTTGTTACAATAAGACAGCTTGTGCTAATCTTCAAACCTCATAATATTAGAAAAAAAAACAAGAATATATGCAACACAATAGTAAATAACAAACAAACAAAACTCAAATAGTAGATGTAGTATCTGTTTAGGTTTTATAAATCAAAACTGAGAACAATTAGGTGAATGTATGTTTAATTTTTGGCCTTCAGTCACACATAAAATAAATGATGTTTAATAATACCACATATCACTCACTGAGAAGATCCCTTGTATCTCTAAAAAAAAGCTTCTTTTGATATCTAGAAAACCCACTCCTTAACACAAAGGCAATCAATGTGTACACAAATTCTCAAAATGCTTTATCAGTGATAGTCATTTCAGCTCATGAAAAAGAGATAATCTTGATATCTTACAATTAATAAAATAGTGAGTATATGGAACAAACAAAAGAAATAGAATCCATACAAACTGGGAGATAAATGTAATAAAATAAAATTACTATAGTGACAAGATGTTGAAATAGAAATAAATTTATTTTACCCAGCAACACTCTGAGCAACTGATTTTCATTATGTTTCCTACGAAAATTAAATAAAATCCAACGAAGAGAAATTGCTAAAAACATCGCTAGATAAAATAACATTTAAATATAATTTAAAATGGCACTTGTACAATATATACATCTATACAGTTAAAAGGAGTACAACACTAAAATAATTACACCATAAAAAATTTATTAAAACAGGAATCAGCCCTAATATGACTCTACATGTTTTGGTGTCCTTTCATCTCACTTTAACAAGCTAGATATTGATGTATTATTAACACTAGAATGTTGCTAGTATTTAGAACAAACAAGCAACATCTATGCAAAAAATATCCATTGACTTCAAATCTTTTACTGACTTTTCATGAAGGGAAAAAATCTACGTTTTGTGTGATAACTCATGAATCAATCCATTCTCATCATGAATTGTTATTTTATTTTTTTGGCACTGTTTTCAGCTATTTAGATGGGTATATTAAATTAGCTATATTAATTAGAGTTAATTTTTAGTTATGATTTATGTAAGTAGCTTACTTTTACTTCATTCAGAAGTTGATTATTAGCACGTTTAGCTTTTTTCTTTCTCTTATTGAAGAAGTTTTACTTAAACTATATATAAATTCTAAATTCTTAAATCTAGCAAAATAAAACTAATTTGGCATCCAAATTGTTCTACTAATTTATTATTAAAAATTTTGCAAAATACATATGTTTTAATTTACACGCAACACAATTTTCACATAAAATAAAGAAACAAATACCTACTTAAAATGTAAACCTTTAAAAGTGAAGTGTGTTTCCACAATACCAGTTGTTTTTACTCTTGTTCTCAGAACATCTTGCTGTGTAGGAATGTAGTTAGATTGGCAGATTCTGTCAAGAGCATTAAGGTAGCTAAAGAAAATTGGAACAAAACTGTTAAGCAGATATATACAAGGAAAGACTTCCATATCCACACTCCCATTATTTAAACTCCGGGTCTAGTGTGTGCATACATTGTGAATATGCAAAAGTAATTCAATAATAATCTAAGATGGAAACAACCAGCAAAATAAAAAAAAATATTTTGTATATGTTGAAATAAATTTTTTGACCACAACAATGAATTCTTAATTTTTCAAACTGAGATTATAATAGTAATAATACATACATGCATAACATCTGTGTTTAAATGGTCCACAGACATTCATTATCATAACTTTGAATAGCTTTCTTTTCTGGGAAATACATGTGTATACATATACACTATTTTATTAACTTTAGAAGCTCCTTGGGTTTGCTATTCTGGCAAGTTAAGTTGTTACATTTTATTTTTTAAATGCCGTTGATATTTCTATATGAAATTATTTGTTCAGTATGCTTTAGATGCTTATCAAAAATGTTATTATGTAATGTTTTTAGATTTATTTAACAACTAGTTTCTCTCAATCTCTATTTTATACTCATTGTGTTGTGTTATATTTTTTATCTGTTATCATATTCTTTTAAATAGCTGCCAATAACTGAAAAATGACTAAGGTCTTGAACCTAGGATCATCCACTACATTTGTAAGTAATTTTTTAGACTGGAGATAATAAATAAGTTAATAAAATCAGTTGAAAACTTCAACATTTTAAAATGCACAATAACTGACTGGAAAAAGTTAAAAGAAAATATACAATTAAAAACTCTACATGTTCTGGTGGAAAATGTTCCACCATCTTTAGGAGACAAGGAAAACCCAGGAAATTTCATTAATATATATAAGTAAATATATATGTACAATTTGTATATTGTACAGTGGTGCCATTTACAAAATTAATATCCAGAAATTCACTTCCATTGCACCAGGACCTAGATCTCTATTCAAAGTCCTTCTATTTTTAGCAATTTCTAATGATTATTTTATATTTAACTCATTTTTTTGACTTAACTTCTTTAACTATTTGTACATTATCCAAATCAATGCTATGTGAAAATTTTGCCACATGTTTCACCAAGGCTGAATCACTTGTTCTTAATTTATCAACAGCATTTTTGTGTTCTTTAATTTGAAACTTCAAATTTCTACTTGTCTGTCCAATATAACTTAAACCACAACAACAACAAAAAATGTTATATATTCCACATTTATCCTTTACTTCAATTTTATCTTTAACACCATTAATGACATTAATTCATTTTAAGTGATGAGTAAAGTTTATTTGACAAGAAGTACCAAACTACCAATTTTTGTTGACAATGATGGAACTTATGGCAAACATATTCTTTCATTATTTCCATTTTTATTGTCTGTAATTTGGTGCATTCATAAATTTGTAATTTATAACTATGTCTTTTTATAAATCCTCTCTATAATATCAGGTTCATGACCTCTATCAATTGCTATATATTTTAAATAATTTAATTCTAACATTAGATCTTCCTTACATGAAGAAACGTTAATGGCCCTGTGAACAAAAGACAAAAAATGAGGATATTTTTTGTGATAATGATTGACATGTGCCATTATGGCAACTGAGTACAGCTTCCTGTATACCAAAGTAGACAGAAATCTACTTTCTCTTTTTTACAGAAACATCCAAAAAAAATCAAACAACCCTCTTCTTCAACTTCAAAAGTGAACTGTATTGTGGAGCTGATAGGATTAAGATGTTTCTGGAAATCAGTTAATGTGTCATTGCTGTGCTGCCATGCATACCTTACTCACAACTTAGGTTTTTCACCAATGTTTCAAGTAACTGAGTTTCAACATCAAACGTGAAAAGTTCTGCTAACAGAGGTGATAAAGGTGACCCAATGGACAAACCTTTATTCTGTTTCTAAATTCCATTACCCACCTTAAAATTACTATTAGTTACACACAGGTTTGTTAAACTTATAATATCATGTACTTCTAGATGTGAAAAAATTTATTGGCTAATAATCTATTTTCGAAACAACATAATACTTCTTCTATTCATACATTTGTGAACAATGATACCACATCAAATGAAACTAATCAATCATTTTGTTCGACATTAATATTCACAGATGAGAGCAGGTTCTATGTATCTTCAAGTGATCAACATGTAAAGGTCTGGAGATATGAAGGAGAGCAATATTCGGCCTGTAACCCTGTCCACCATGATGCCTTTGGGGGTAACTCAATCATGGCCTGGGGTGGAATCTGAATGTATGGGTGTACAGACCTCTATGAAGTGGATGAAGAATCCCTCACAGCAAGACGTTACATGAGTGAGATCTTGCTAACCATTGTTTGCTCTTTTCTTGGTGTTGTCTGAGATGAGTTTATGTATTAACAGGATATTGGATGTCCTCACGTTGCCACGATCATGCAGCAACGTTTTCAGGATGAAGGAATAGAGGTACTGGACTAGCCTGACGAGTTACCAGAACTACAACCAATTTACTACGCATGGGAATTGCTAGGGAGAGATAACCTGCTCCTACGACTGTCCAAGAGCTCAGAACTGCTTCCATCCTAGAGTGGACTGTGCTGCCCCAGCAAGTCATCCAAAATATCCTCATCAGTATGGGAAACAGGTGTAGAGAAGTTATAAACAATAGAGGACCTACTAACTACTAAAGACTCACTTTTTTAAGTTTGTTCATTTTAAGAAGTTATTTTTTTCTTTGATATTTATGCAGCCAAATATTAGCATTTTACATGTGATACTTATAACAAGTTTCATCAATATTGAACATCTCTCTTTGTCTTTCTTTCAAATTTTGAAAAAAACATCAAACCTCATCATCCTATAATTTTTGTGAGTAGTGAGTGTATAAAGGAAAGTAAACTGTTTCTCAACAGGCAGGATACTGCTGCCACTCCTCCTCAGCTAACTACCAAGTAAGTTCAGGTATCAGGATACTTCTGTCACTTCTCTTCAACTAACAACCAAGTAAGTTCAGGTGTCAGGATGTTTCTGTCACTAGTTAACTCTCCTTTCTGAGAAGCACCAGGAGTAGTGAAAACTGCTGAGCATCAAGTAAGTTTAAATGTCAGGGTATTTTTGTCACTTCTTCTCAGCTAACTACCAAGTAAGTTCAGGCACCAGGATATTTCCATCACTATTCCTCAACTAACTACTAAATAAGTTCAGGTGTCAGGATATTTCTGTCACTTCTCAGCTAACTACCAAATAAGTTCAGGTATCAGGATATTTCTGTCACTATTTCTGGGCTAAGTACTAACTAAAGCAAACTGTTTCTTATCAAGCAGGGTATTTTTGCCACTCATCCTGAAAAAACTACCATGTAATTTGAGTTATTACTGTCAGCAGTATACTTACTATGCAGCTGAATCATTCAGTTGATATTCTCGAGAGCGAGAAAAACAATGCTGCACCCCAGAGTCTAGCCATAATCTCTTCATAATTTTTGATAATTCTCCGGTTAACTCTCCTTCCTGAGAAGCGCCAGCAATAGTGAAAAACTGCCGAGCATCATCCTGTAAGCATGAAACAAAAAGAGATGCTTACAGATAACTGTTTCTCCTGTTGTCTTTTAGATAGACAGCTAGTCTTATTATCTCTACTGCCAAGATGTAAATCAGTTAACAAAAGCTGCCAATTTTTGTAAAATTAGATTCCTTAATTCTTTCACCATGGGCTTGGTTCCTGGGACCGACCTCGTAACCATTTTGTGCCTGTTATAGTTTCCATGCTATATCTTTTAAATTAGTATGCGAATGTTAACAATATTTGGCAGATTATCAGTAAACATTACAATGCTTTCATATGTAAAATATCAAATTTTTTTTTATTAAGTCTTAAGGTTTGTAATGGAATGTTTTTCTCATGCCTATATTTCTTTCACATGTTGCCTATCCATCATGCAAAGTAATTTTCATTTTAAGATTAAAAATACTTTTATGCATAAGAATATTTTCAGATTTCACATGCAAAATCTTAATAATGTCTAGATAGTTATCAAATGTTTCTTAAGAAAAACTTTATATTTGATCTGTTATTTCCAGTAATTAATCTGTGTACGGGTTTGGTAGATTTGACCGATCTCATAACCACCATAAAAATTAGGAAATAAATATAAATTATGTCTCTTTCTTTATAAAATGAACACAAATTATAACACAAAAATATAAATGTTTAGACTAAATAGCTTAAATCTCATAACA